TGGAATGCACAGTGTTTATTCTGGTCTCTTTGCTCCATTGGCTGTCTGATTGGTGGTGGGATCTGGAAGATGTTTCTTGCCTTGGTCTCTTGTTACAGTCTGGCCAGTGTTACTTTGAGCGGCGTGACTCTTTCGGTTGTTCGAGATTTCTTTTCAAGGGCTTGTCCCTCAATAGGCTGGGGTTCCCGATGAGCCCTCGAGGTGCTCGATCGCTCCTTCAGCCGATTCTCTACTGTGACCAGTGTCGCTCTCTGCTGTCTAGTTACTTCATTTTCTTCAAGTCTGATGTAGTTTTGTGCCCGCGAATTCAGCTCCGACATGTTAGTTGGGGTCTTCTTCACCAGAGAAGAATAGAAACATGAGCCTTGCACCATGGCTATCTTGAACGCTTCTATGACTGTATCTTAATTGCAATCTGGTATGCCCGAAGACTCTATATTGAATCAGGTGAGGAAGGTTTGCAGGCCTTCTCCCTTCATCTGCCGAATCGTAAAAAGACTGGCAATGGTTTTCTTCTGTTTTTTATTTCCACAATACTGGGCAAGAACGTGACGCATAGTGACTCGAAGTTTAGGATCGACTTATACGAGCGATTCTTGAACCACTCTAGGGCAACCCCCGTCAGGCTGGATGGAAATATTTTGCACATGAATAGATTATTGTGAGCCTTTAGTGTCATTTCCTGAGTATAGTGGTTGAGGTGCTGGAGGGGATCTCCAGTCCTATTGAATTTGATAAACTTGGGCATTGTGAATTTCTTGGGTCTTGTGACCCGTTCTTTCTCATCTGTGAAAGGGGTTTTCACTATTGATGCAGTGAATTCTCTGGCCATTTCTTCAGGCGTTTGGGCCTTCAGCCCTTTGATTCGTTCGTCCATTTCTTTTAGGAGCCTGGTGATAAAGTCATTCCCCGAAGACGGCTGATCAGCTGCTGGGGTCCACACTTCTTTTCTACCTGAATCCGCGTCATCTGATGGATGGGCTTTAGTGACTCGAGGCCCCCCAATATCGGAGTTCCCCAAGGTGCGAGACTGACTTGCAGCATCGTAGATGTCCTCCAGCGTTCCATTGAGCTGTTGGCGTGGAGCCTTCTGTTGGTGAGGTGGATTATCATTGCCTGGCTCCATGGGGGGATCTTCGTTCTGACATTTGGGCCGAGGGGTTCAACTGTTCATTCCGCCGAGCGTTGCTACGGAGTCTTTCGTTTTCTCTGCGCATAGTGCTAATTTGTGCCATGCTGGTTTCTTGAGCCTGCATTAGCATATTGATTTGCTCAGCTCTAGCTTCATTTGCTTGTCACAGGAGGTCCAGTTGCGCTTGCATTTCTTCGCGTATCTTCTGCATGGTCTCCTGTTGCTACAGTTAAACAGTGTCTGACTCTGTTACCATTCTGAAGTGATGTTGTATGCAAGGGATAGGGAACAGACTTTTTGTATCGAGCTTTCCACAGACAGCGCCAAAGTGTGGGTGGAATTTTTCACACCCAAACACCTAAAGAGATCAATTATGGAGAGCACAGAGAAAAAATCAAGAAGGGAACAAGCGAATCTTTGAGATAGTAGTAATATTCAGAGTTCGATGATCTTCACCTTTGTTCAGGCTCTATTTATAAGTATTTTTGCTTAAGAATTTACATGGAGCCGTTTCTTGGCTTTTATTCCCAAACGTGGGTAATTATGCCTACAGATCGTACATTCGACATTATTGCGGGCGTTATAGAGTTTGGGCCTTGTCAAGATTGGGCCTGTTCATTTTGCCTTTGTGTTAAGTAGGCTTTCCTTCGCTAGGCTTATGTTTGATTATGGGCTTCTAGCTTTTTTTACTTGGTTGTGGACTGCCTTTTGCCGCCACGTGGTGTTTTGCGATTGGTGTGATTTTTTCCCTCCACAGCATCTCAGTTCATCATTTCACATGTTATTTCATTTTTTAATAAAGTTACCATCACCAGTGAGATGGATGACCCTTAATTTCTACGCAATAAAATATTATGTTTTCAGTTACTTACCTATGTGGTAATATCAAGCTCAAAATAATCTATTTATCTCCTTAAAGGGACCAAGGGCTAACAATACATTCTTCCCTTATTAAAGGGACAAGAAGCCGACTACTTCTTCTACACAGAAGGGTGAGATAATTAAAGCTTCCTTCATTTACTAAAAAAACGAGACGGCTACCTCCTGTATTACAAGGGATAATAGTGAGAGTCCTATATTAAAAGGACCCGAGCTTAATGAATCCCGTAATTAATATTCCCGTACTATAAGGGATAATAAATGAGTGTCCTGTGTTATAAGGACCCGGGCTGAATGAATCCCGTAATCCATATCCCCGTACTATAGGAATAGTGAATGAGTGTCTTGTATTATAAGGACCCGGGCTGAGTGAATCCCGTAATCAATATCCCCGTACTATAAGGGTCTTGTATTATAAGGATCCAGGCTGAATGATCCCCGTAATCACTATCCCCTTACTATAAGGGGTAGTAAATAAAAATCCCTTACTAAAGGGACGAGCTGAGTAAAGCTCGTAAAATTTAATTCCCTTATTAAAGGAGTGGCGACCTGAGTGAAAATCGTACAATTTATTCCCTTACCAAGGGAAGATTACCCAAGGGTACCAAAAATAGTACCCAAGGGAAGAGTATCCAAGAGTAATAAAAATAGTACCCAAGGGAAGAGTACCCAATGATACTAAAAATAGTACCCAAGGGAAGACTACCTGAGGGAAGATTACCCAAGGGAAGAGTGCTCAAGGGAACATTACCCAAGGAAAAATTACCCAAGGGTAAGGGAAAAAAAAAAAAAAAAAAAAAAAAAAAAAGGAAGAAGAAGATTACTGTTCATGTGAACAATACCGCGGGAATCGTACCTGCGGGTACTGTTCCCAAGGCAAGGAAGAAAAAAAAAGTGTAGTTACTGTTCATGTGAACAATATTCGCGGGAATTGTACCTACGGGTACTGTTCCCAGGGCAAGAGGAAAAAAAAAAAATATATATATATATATATATATATATAGTAGTTACTGTTCAATGAACAGTACCCGCACGGGAATAGTGCCGGGGGCAAAAAAAAAAAAAAATATTACATTCCCAAAGCTAGACGAGCAAGCTTGGGAATGGGAGGCAACTGATAGGGAAAAATAAACCTAACCTACCTTGACCTAACGATAGAGGCAACTAAGTGTTGATCAGATGCCAAATCTCTTCTACTTTCGAAAGATAATATTTCGTTATTAAGGATAACGATTTCCATTGGATAAATTCCATGGGATAATAACAAATCTTATCAAGGATAAGATTTTTATGGGATAACTTCCATAGGATAAGGATTATGATATTCCCTTATCAAGAATAAGGGAAATGACGATAAATAGGAAGACGACTTAGGAATAAGGTACGACGAAAAAACTATTATTAAATCCCTGCCATCTTTTTAGACTTCGAGTGACTAACTTGATCGTCGGAGAGCTCTTGGCAGGCACCACACCGGTGCTGTCAAGGTTCATCAATCTTCTCTTTTTTTCCTTACAGGAAAACGATATCGTATCGGATCGCGTAAATTTCACCCTCAACAATTACCATTATAAGCTATTAAATGTATAAAATCAAAATTCCCAAATTAATACAATTCCAGGGAAAAAAAAAAAATCAAATCAAATTGAAACCACCACCAAATTCAACCCCAAATCGTGTCTGTTGGAACCCAATATTCATTCTCTACCAAATCACCATCTCTTTTATGTATCTTCACCATTTGATTCTCTGCAAGCCACTCAACAATCACAAACCAAACCCTAAGTTTCATTCACAAACCCTAATTTTTGTTCTATAGCTCAAATTTCTTCAATTTATGGCGAGAAATGAAAGTTTTGTTGAACACTGGTTGTCAGAGGAAGTTGGGTTTCTGCAAATCGAGAAGCCAATAGGATTTCGACAGTTTGATGTGAGAGACAAAACAACCTGATAGCATCAACACGGAAGTAGGCCGAGACGTTGAACAATGAGACGAATATAAGATGAATTGGGGTATAATGCGGTAAGGGATAGTGTTGAGTAGGAGGTGGTCGTTGTTCTCATTGCCGTTGATCCTCTGTGACTGTTACCGGAGGAACGCATTGAGGTACTAATTGGTCATCTCCTCCTCCTCCTGTACTGTATTTCTTCTCACATAAACACAATCACTGCTCATTGCCGTGTTTACTTGGCATCAATGGCGGAGTAATCGACGAACAAACCAATTAATGGCTTCACTCGCACGGCACTGCCGCACTAGTCGCGTTTGGTAAATGAGATGGGGAGAGGTGTTGCGTGGTAGAATTAGGTTTTGTTGTTCTTTTTTTTTTTTTTTTTTTTTTTAGAAGGTGAGAAATTAGAATTAGGTTCAGTTGGTGATAAGGTGATGTGTTGTCCAATCCTTATTGGCCTTTAAGTTTTTTTTTTTTTACACCTCAACAACAGAAATTAATAAAGAATCCAAACAGGCCCTTCAACTAAAGGGTAAATTAGTAACTTTCTTTTTCCGGTGCCAGAGACCTAACTGTTGTACTTAAATGCAACTTTATCATAGTTCAGGGGGACATTTGTTAATTCAGGGGTGTTTTGTGCAATTGGCTGAAAGCTCGGGGGGGTTTATGCACTTTACCCTAATAAAAATAACATAACTATACATATTAGAATCAAGGGTAAAGGGCAATTAACCCCCTGAACTTTCAACAAAAAACAGAAAATCCCCCTAAACTAAGTAATGCCCCCTAAACTATTTAAAAAGTGAATTTTAAGGACAAAAGCAAAAGTTATTATCACCGGAGCTAACTGGAGATACAAAATTAATAACCGTATCCTTTCGTAGAATGACAACATTTTATTGCTTTTCTAACTGGTGTTGATGATTTGTCAAATACACTTTCAAAACCTAATAGCAGTGTGACACATCGTCCTCTTATCACAATCACCTTTTACCCAGTACTTCCTATTTTAGCGCCTAACACTCCTTTATGTACAGAACGCTCTCCCTCTCTCTACGCTCTCTTTCAGTATCCTTTCCTTGGCAGCCGATCGCAACGACTTGGCCGACCAGCTCACGACCTCACCGTTGGCCGACTCCTTATATTATGACTAGGACCTGATTTGGCTGATCAACCAAATTAATCATGAAATCAACCTCAATTAAATCATTGATAGACTGAAGCTCTAGATATTATTGTTGTTGTTACTACTTGTCCTCTCTCGGCAGCCATGGCTATTGTTTCTATATGAGTAATCCGCGCCGCCATGATTAAGCTTTCCAGATTTGGGGTTTATTTTCTTTGTATGTGGTTGATGGGTTTGCAGATTTGTTGGTTAGCCTTGACAGTTTGATTGTTTACATTGATTTGAGGATAATTTTCATGTTATGGTTCTTTTGGTGTTCTATTTTATGTTACTAATTTATTTATTTATTTATTTTTATTATTATTATTTTTTTTTTTCCTTCAGTGACTAATGATTCCGCCATTCTCATCTTCTGAAAAATTGAGCCAAAAGAATGATTGAAAGACTTAAGATATCCATTCAGATTATGTGTGTATTTATCAATTGTAAGATTTGAGGGTTTGTAACTTTATGCCCAATATAACATATACGTATTACATATAATATATATATATATATATATATATATAAATATACATGGCGATGACGATCAACAATTTGGGGTTTTCAAATTGGACCTTGTTCAATGGCTCTTATCCTTACTGCCAGGAATACTCCTCTGTAATGATTGTGCTTTATATATATATATATATATATATATATATATATATATAATGTATTGAAAATATATCTCAGGTCACGTGATAGTGAGAGGGCAGAACAGTGTCGCCTGGTCCTTTTTGGCCAAAAAATGGATATTTCATGGGGTTTAACTTAAAAATAAAAGTTCGCCCGCCGGCCGGGGGGAGGGGGGTTTGTTGGGAGAGAGAGTAAAGTTCAGGGGGTTTTGTTGCACTTAATCCTAGAATCAATCTAAATCAGGTCATTATTTATATGATTCAACATTTCAATTATTAAACAACTTATTAGAAATGCAAGACAGTCAATCAGAAATATCAAAATATAACCTCACTCTTTCCGATGCCCTCAATGTCGAGAAATATGTATTAAGATGTATGTGCAACTCGTTCCAGGGACAGGCCAGAGAAGTATGAGTAGGGAAGACTTTTAACAAAAAGAATGTTGTGGGGATAATAGTAAAATTTTTCTATAATTTCGGAAGAAGGGGACAAAATTTAAATTTTAAAGTTTATAAATAAATAAAAAAAAACAAAATCTGGTGTAAAATATAAAATGAAAAAATGTTTAATAGGAGCAATGACGCCCACTGGGCCTTCATTGAGTCCATGCCGTGATGATGAATAGAATGGACCGGATAAACTCCATTCTTTATCAAAAAATAAAAAATAAAAAAAAATTTCATATCCCACTATTGTTTATGAAATTTACAATTTTTCCGGGATCTTATCAAGTATTTTATTGAGGAAGAAATAGAATTAATAATAAAATAGATGAAATAGTGGGTTTTATTCTTTTTCATAGTAAGTGCGTAAAAGACCAACCATATATATGTGGATTAACGAGACAAGAAACCTTGTTTTATAATGCAGCAGGTGACATGCACATGCTTTCTTTTCTTTTTCTTTTTTTGTATATATTCTTTTATATACACACGCATACTTGATGCATGTACGTATTGACTATAGACTATAGTGTTTGTTTTGCTTGAAAAACCATGCTTTAGGCATGCATGAACAACATAATTTGTACCATTGTGTATTTATGGATTTCTCAATTTATTTTTTCACAGTAGCATGGGGACCAATTTTTTTTGTATGAAAAATAACATAGCTATATATATATATATATATATATATATATATATATATATTATATTTTGTTTCATCATAGACCAAAAAAAAAAAAACTAAAGAACATATTTGAAAAACTAAAAGTAAATGATTTTATATGTATAATTGAAAATTTAGAAATTCCTTACCAAAATTTATTAGGAAGAATAAACAAATAATTTGAAAGCATTATATAAAATATGAAATTCTATATGTATAGTATTCATATAATTTCAGACCTAAAGAAATAAATATTTATATTTAATATAACTAAAAGCAAAATGTATAGCATTCATATAATCTGTGACCTACAAAAATAAATATTTGCATTTAATATGTTTCATACTAACACCAAAACTGTATAATCTTTGAACTAAAGAAATAAATATTTGCATTTAATATGATTCATACTAAAAGTAAAACAAAAATAGACAAAGTAAAAGAAAACATGTAACACCCCCAACATTTTTCACGCATAAGTTGATCAGGCTTATACATGAAAAACGAGGGATATCAAAAACAATTGGCAATATACAAGCATGGAATACAAAATGATGATAATAAAAGAATTTAGACAGGAAAGGAACACTAAATAATACAACATCCATCCATCCTTTATTTAATACAGTACTCCATTACAACTTGGAAATCCTATGTCAAGGATCCCTAAATATAACCCTGAGAGTTCAACTTCAAAAGTAAATAAAAACTGAAACTGAAGTAATACATAAAACTTCTACCCTGAATTGGATCGTAAGAGTAGATGAGTTCGGATGGTGGTCCCACACTGCTAGCCTCAACCTTGGAACGGGTACTGACCGTATCCTGAAATAACAACAATGGTGGGTCAACCCCACGAGCAAGTCCTCTCTACTATGACCCAAATCAGAGAATCAAATAAATTAATCATTTATATCCGGATGAGTACTATATCTGTATACATCCTAAGGGAACCATCCAATGTATAACATGACCTCAACCAGAATAGACGGTGATCACTTAGACTCACACTAGGTGGTTAAGTGTCGCCTTTCCCTACCCGGGAAATCAGCTATTATACATGGTGCACGATACTGACAACACAGACTATAACGAACTACATAGTGATAACACCTCTCAAAGTACTGATGAATATACTGAGCATACAAATTAAGCAACACATGCCAATAATATTACTAAATATACTGAGCATGTCCATTAGGCAACACATGCCAATAATATTAAACCAGATACCCTGACAGCCACACATCTGTCTATAGCAACGAATGCATAAGGTATAAATGAGTCTAAACTTATTAGTCAGCTCACATGGTTCTATATGGCAACACATCCATATAATATAAATGCGACATAATAAACAGTCCATTTATTCCCTGAAATGCACACAGCATAATAATCATGGTTGATATATGATTAACAGTATAAATATCTCATAATATAATGAATAATTTATATGACGATAACCGTGACATTATTATATTTGAACAGTAATAATGAATACCATTTAATAACATAATAATACCATCTATAGTAATGTGGTCAAATGAGTCACATTCATATACGTACGGTAAACGGGCCAATTAAGGTTTAAATATATTAATCGGCCATAATAATACTTAACGGGTATTAAAATAATAATTTCGTGGCCCGTTAAACCCGTAAATACCAACGCAGTACCTAAAAATCCAAGTTTAAGGTTCTGGAATTTACAAAACAGGCCCTAGGGGTATTCTGGTAATTTCTAGCAGCTGACAGGGCCTCTCACGCGCCCTCACGCGCCTCCCAGAGCTTCCCACACGCGCCGCCACTTTTCTCACACGCGCACGCGCTTACACGCGCCTTCACGCGCATCTAGAACCTCCCACGCGCGCGCACGCGCTGCCACGCGCGCACTAATGCATCCTGATGACGCGGCACTTGCTGATTCGTTGGTTGCATGGTCTTGCTATGGGCGCGCTACACTGGATGAATTTACCTAATCCAAAGGTTCTTGATCCGGGTGTACTGCAGTAACATGGACTGCGATGCACCGGATCAATCAGACTCTACCAATGGCCAGGATGCACGCGCGCACTAACCTACCATGCGCCGCATCACACCGGATCACTCCGGTCATCTTCTTCACTGCCGGTGGCCGGAAACCTCGCCGGAGGCTCGCCGGAAATTGCAGAAAAGCCCCGGAAAAATCTAGAAAATTCTAGAAAAATCCCTAAAGCCTTATTTAATTATTTTCAGCTATATTTTAATTACATAGGCTAATAAATAAATAACTAACCTCTTTAATAATTAAAACACATTATTTTAATAAACTAAAAATAATTTATTGAAACTCTTAGCATGGTTTCTAGTCTCTAAAAAACCCGAAATAAATTAAATGAATAATTTATGGATTCAAAGGGGAAAAGTAGATAATAACTTACCTTTTTGGATTTAAAATAAATCCGCCGGTTGCGCGTAGTCGGGTAAATTTTTCCTACACCGGTCCAAGCTCCTTTCTTTCTTTCTCTTCCTTTCCACACTTTTACAATGGCTCACTAGAACTTATAATTTGTTTCTAACTCCCTTTCTTTCCTTCTAAGGTAGGCTAGCTAATTTATATACAAATTATATAATATAAATATTACAAATATCTATTTTTGTATTGAATTAACCACATTCCCAACCATATGGCTTTAAGTCTACCCTTACACATTAATGAAATCCTATCCTAATATCTAATTTCATCATGACATTGTGATTTAATACTATTATTATTATTATAACTATTATTATTATTATTACCAATATTATTATTAATAAACTTTTATAATAATAATAATTATTATTATTATATTATTATTATTATTATTATTATTATTAAACTATTATAATTATTATTATTATTATTACATAATAATACATTATATCATCATAATACTTTATAACACAAATAGAATACTTTAATTAACTAATATTGCTTAATTAATTATAATAATACATGCACAATTAAATGAATAAATTTACTATTTTAACATACACAATTAATTTACATGCACCATTAAATGAACTTAATATAACAATGTAGCATGCACAATAATAGGTAAAGGAATCCACACATAATTGAATTTAAATAAACTAAATTCTTTAATAAAATACGGGGTATTACAGAACATATTCTTTGATCTTGGTGATATGAGAAAAGAGTAAATTAGAATTTTTAAATTTACTTTACGTCAATTTTGACCAAATTTGAACCTTTTTTTAAATAAAAAAAATTATGCATTGAAATACACATTTTTCAAAAAGGAATGAAAAATTTATGTATTGAAATACACATTTTTCAAAAAGGAATGATGTATTGTACACATAACCTATATTACAGAGGTTTTCTGCACTTAACCCTAATATATATATCAATACATGCACACACAAAAATGCTAATTAATTTTAATGAACAATGAACAATTAAAAAATAAATCAAGTGCACAAAACATCTCTAAAATATGTTTACAGTGCATATCACACCCCTCACATGAAAAAAATATTTCTAAAGTTTTAATTTGGTGTAAATAAGTCTCTTTGACAAATTTATACACTAAGTTAACTAAATTACCATTACTAAACAGTTTTATAAAATATATAAAAATAAATAAATTTGTAAAATGACCGAAAAAAACACTATTGGAGGATGTCTATGTCGTGCAAAAAAAAAAAAATCATAAAGTTTCAATCTGGTGCAAATAGGGCCCTCTTACAAATTTAAACCCTAAGTTGACTAAATTACCCTTACTTAACCATTTTATAAAATATATAAAATAAATAATTTTATAAAATAACAAAAAATGACACTATTGGAGGACGCTGGCAATGGACAAATAAAGATAAAAATATTAAAGAAAAGTAAATATAAAAATATAAAATAATAAACAAAAATAAAGTGCAAAGAAAACAAATTTTTTCCAAACTCCGAAAATCAGTGCACATATTGGGATTTTTTTTTTTGGTTTAAAATTGTTGGTACAAAAAAGAAAAAAATAAATATAGTAAAAAAGAGTAAACTGGAATCTCAAAAAATTCAAATCCTTGTTCTACAAATTCTTAAAGTTAAAAAAAAGAAAAAAAATGTTTAGAGATATATATATATATATAGAAAAAAGTTTCAATATATATATATATATATAAGATAATGTGCACATAACACCCATATCTATGAGATTAATAGCATATATACCCCTTGGATATTTTTGAAAGAGTAAAAGGACAAAATGAGTATTACAACATTAATTTATGTCCGGATGAGTATTTTTACACAATGTAAAAAGATTAACGGTGTTTTTTGCACACTTTTTTATATATGAAGTAAAAGTGTTATTTGGAGTATATTTTAGGAGTATTTTCTGCACCATGCACATGCAAAAATGCTAATTAATTTAATGAACAATTAAGAGCCATTCCAGAGGAAGCTAGGTGTGCCTTCCCTAGTTAGCATTGATATTATGAAAATTGATTCTTAAAACCAAACAAAAACAGTCCAAATGAGACAACTTCTCACGATTTTTGTGCGATCTATGTACACTGGCTCTACAATAATGTATCAAATAATTAAAAAATAATTTATCTTGTTTGCTCTAGAATGGCTCCACTTCAGCTGAAAATTAATTTAATTACAATAGCAAATAATTTAATTAAAAAACAATTTATCAAATAATTTAAATTAAAAATAATTTATTAAATGACGTGAGACCCATGGTTGATATTGAGTCTTCTATCGTGTTTGCGTGGCTTCGTCAACTCGAAAAACATGTTTCTTTGGAGAAACATAGTCATCATTAATTATAATATTATTTTTTATTTTTTTATTATTATTTTTTTAAATCCGAATGAAGTCGGCTATGTCTATATTCTTTTTCTATCGAAAGTCATTTATCATACCCAGATTAAGTACAATCGTATAAGAACAACATAAAAAAGGCCATGAAATTGTGTAAAGTACTTGTAGGAGATATTCAAGATTTGCCCATACTTGTTTGATGTTGTCAACTCTACTTCTTGTTTCTTACTATTGTACAATGTAATGACGCCCATGCTTACCAATTATTATTACAATTTGCAAAAGTCATTGGAATAATAATAATAATAATAATAATAACAATAACAATAACACCACCAACATATAATAATTGTATAAAAACTAAGGGTTAATTACAATGACACTCCCTAAAGTTTGCTATAATGACAGCTATATACGAGTTAGACCAATTTTGAATGATGACACTCCTTTAAGTTTGATAAAGTTAATAAAGACACCCCTTGTTAGAATTTTTGATTCAGACAGACCCTTAAAAGATGAGAAAAGACTAGATTGCCCTTCAATAAAATATTAATTTTTGATTTAAAATATCCAAATCTTCCAAATGACAGAATTACCCGTATTAATTCTAATTTTATCTCTCTATCCTCTCTCACTGAAAATCCAGAAATTTTGCCCCAAAAACCACCACCACTTCCACCTTCACCAAAAAAATGAAACAGAGAAATTGCAAATGGGTTTAGTGAGAATTATTGCATATTATTAATTTTTTTTTTTATAAGTAATAATCAATGTTTTCTCTGTGCCTATCCAATGTGTTTCTTTAATTTTGTGGGCAAAAAAATATATATATATTTCTTGAAAGAATGAACAGGGGCGATAGTGGTAGAGAGAGTGGAGGCAGTGCTGGCCCTTCGTCAAAGCATCCACTGGCCGTGGAGACTCGGCGGCGAGCTTGCGAGCAAGATGGAGAGCTCGGTTGTGGATGAACTGCGGCAAAGCGGTGACAGACTAGTTGTGACGGCTTGATGGAGCCGATAGAAACGAGCTGGTTAACTGCGGCGGTGAGCGATGAGGGACTCTCGGCTTTGATGATGTCCACCGGCGGGCAAGGAGAACTCAATTGTGGATATCTGCGACCGGCGATGAGAGCGACGGCGAGCTCGGCCAATGGCTGTGGATCGGTGAGACAGATCCGGATGTCCACTGGCAGGGACTCTCGGCTTTGTTGATGTCCACCGGCGGGCAAGGAGAACTCGACTATGATCTGCGACTGGCGATGAGAACGACGGCAAGCTCGGTTGGTGGCTGTGGACCGGTAAGACAGATCCGGCGAGGGAGGTGGAGCTCGGCTGTGGTTGGCGACGGTGCTGCGATGCTTTTTTGTTGGACTTGGATATATATATATGATGGTGTATATATATAAGGGCAAAAATAGCTTTTCATAAGTTATGATATTTTGCCACAAAAATGAATTAAACATTGAAGGGCAATTTCATCTTTTCCAACATTTTAAGGGCTTGTTTGGATCAAAATTCTCACAGGGGTGGTCATTATTCAAAAAACGGCTAAGTTATATATAACTATCAATATGTCAAACCTCAGGGGGTGTCGTTAGTAATTATTATCAGCAAAGTAAAACTCTGGTTTGGCAAAGTAACATCAATGAACGTTTAACTTTGAAGTTTGTATAAGTTTACCGTCATCGTAACTTTAAAACTCATAATATCATTGAATAGTATTGAACTTAACATATAACTTTTAATATCGTGTAATATGTAATAGCTCGTCCAACTCACATCACACCCACCTAAAGAGGTCGTGACAATTGAATTGATGTTTTGAATTTAAAATAAAATAAAATAAAAAAAAATTAATTCAAAGTTATAACTAAATTTCATTGGATTCTAAATTCAAACCACAATAGATTAAGTCCAAAACATATACTTCTTCTCTCTCAAAATTTTCCTTTACCCCTTTGGTCCCGACCAAAGTGACAAATTGCTCCCAAGTCCACCTAAAGAGTCTCACATGTCAAATAGTGCCGGCCACGTATGCTTTCTTGTTTTTCATGCATTTGCTCATAGGGTTAAAAAGGGGCTTTTATTTTTTTTTATTTTTTTTTTTTTGAATATGAATTTTTTAGTAAAGAAACATAACCCATTTATTATATATTGAACTTTATCTACTAATTTTATTTTTTATTTTTTAATTTGAAGAAACCAAAAAGTTATGTCCATGAATTTAATCTCAATATTATTTAATTTGGGCCCTCTTAGAGACTTGAAATTCCTAAGATGGCTAATTATTATAAAATGACATTAAGACAAGACAGAAATGTCCACCCACTCATTAACCAAAAAGTTACCACATGGTTTTTTGCTCCTACCCCCTACTAAACTTTACAGTTGTTAAAAAATATATATATATTTGTTAATTTACTAAAATTATGGTAACCCAAAAACTGAAATTTAAATAATAATAATAAAATAAGAAACAGTGGCCCAGTAACAGCTGGCTCATGGCCTATATTGCCCACACATTAATTAAAGCAGCACAAATTTGCTTGTCCTAGGACCACCTAATTGTTGTCCCATAGTCTTGTATACGTGGATACCTATTTGGTTTATGCCCAAAACCAAAAATATAAATAAAATAAATATTATATGGAGTACATTTCTCTAACCCTTGTATTGACACTATTCTCATTGTATTTTGCGACTTCAAAAAAATCCAATCAATATATATATATAGTGGGGGAGATGAACACTTCTCTTAAACTAACATAAGTTTTATTAGTATTTTTTTTAATTAGGTTTTTATTTATTTTTATTTTGTAATTATTAGAGAGATTTCAGTTTTAGGTAATTTATTTATATTTATATATATTTTTATTTGGTTTCTTTATATTATTAGTTTTCTTTGCAGTTTTAAATTTTTTTTTTTTTATTATAATAAATATGTATGTATTGCAAGAGCATAATTTTTTTTATAATTATTATAAATATGCATGTAATGCAAGAGGAGAATTTTTACGTAAGGCTCCGTTTGTTTGGACAAAATATATATATATTTTTTATTTTCTAGTATTTGGTTGTCGTTTGGTAGGATTCTAAAATGTGAGAAAATTAAATTCTTACACTTGACATTATTTTAACATCATATTTTTTATTCCTCAATGAGTATATTTTATACAAGTGCAAAATTTTAGTAACATTATAGATAATAGAGGTATTTCTAGGGTTTGAAATACCCTTTTGCTCAACAATTGATTAGGAGGAGCCAATAAATAAAAACATTCACTAAACTTGTGGACAAAACTATAACTAAATTTTGAACTAAAAAACGGTAGCTTTAACATATATGAACATAAATGCAATTTTAAAAGGTAACTTAATTGAGTTTTGATTTGGGGTCGAACCCATGGCTCAGTTGTCCCAAACCAACTCACAAATGGCCCTAGACTCAATCAGCAATGGTCCAAGTCATGTCATTCTCGAAGATCCAATGGCACACCTCAATCTTCCCCGGACCCGAACCCAATGCTGCGAAAGCTCCATGACCCGAGCTCCAATCCGTTGTATCCAAGTGACAAATAGAAACCCCACGATTGATCTTGGCCTTGGTTTTCGGATCCAATAGATCCGCTTCGTAGACCCGAACCTTGGGAACCGAGTGGCAATAATAGAGTAGGTAAGGGAATAGGCTCTGGTGACAAGACACCGATTTCGTGACTTTGCCGCCGTTAATTCCTTTGACGGATCCGATCATCACATTCCGAGTTGACCCATTAGTGTTTTGGGTGGTTCGAACCTCCACGTTCCGACCCAAAACCGAGGTGGCGAAATCAATCATGTCCTCGACAGACCCGACACACCGCTTGGTCTCACCCGGGCTTGGAGCCCTCTCGCACTCGCTCAACCCGTCCGCGAGTATACTCTCCATGCTCGAGTTATCACCGGCGTGAAAGATTTGCTTCAACTCAGTGAGCTTCGAAGTGGAAAAGGGCAATTTCGATGAAATGACCCGGGGCAAAAACGACCTCACAGGCATTTTATCGCGAATGTCAGGCATAGGCATCACAGTCCCACTCTTCAGCATTCTCTCCCGGAAAAATTTGCCCGGCTCCACCCATCTATTTACGGGTTTGCCATCGGTCGCCATTGAAGCCAACACTTCAGAGCTCTGATTAATGTATCTACCAAAAGTGACACCCTTTTTGGCGTAGTCTTTGAAGGTATTGTTGACTCCATAGATTTTGAACCCGACGGTCTGACCCTTAGCCCCATTTCCGTACCCAGTGAACTTGTCCGTACCTTCGTTGAAGGATTGACCGTAATTCAAGAAATTGACCTTCTCTGAGTTCGAATTCTTGGCATAAGATTGGAAAGAATCGTCCCCAGTATTGGACTGATCTCTGTAATTCTTGAATGTATCAATGGCGGCATTGCCACCATCACCGTAATTCTTGAAATTGTTTTGTGGGTTATTGCCCATAGACGCATAAGAGGTGAAGGTGTCACCCACGCTATTCCCAGTCTCGCCATAGCCAGTGAAGCTCGAACCCATGACATTCGAATTCTTTCCGTAGCCAGTGAACTCGTTGCCGGCGGCATTGCCGTTCTTGCCGTAGCTCGAGAACGACTCTGCGCCGGAATTGCTGTCTTCGGTGTAGCTGGTGAACGATTGTTTCCGGCCATTGCTGTCGTCGGAGTAGCTGGTGAACCGGAGGTTGGGGACGTTGACGAAGTGGTTGTAGTTCTTGAATTCGCCGGCGCCGCCGGTGGCGGCGGCACCGTACGTGTTGAAGCTCTGGTCGACGACGTTGCCATCAGGGGCATAATGGGAAAACTTGTCGCCGTGACCCACCGAGTCGCGGCTGTACCTCCTGAACGAGTCGACCGGGAGGTTGTCGTTGTCCGAGTAGTTCTTGAACGAGTCGAACCCGCCGGGTCGACTCGTTCCGTAATTGGTAAAGTTCTTGCTGTGGTACGAGGCGAAGTTGACGTTCTGGTCGTGCTTTTCGAGGCTCGCCAATAAATCGGGGAAGCAGAGCAGTTTCGCCGAGGAACAGAACGAGGACAGCTGCGCGGAGAGGCCGTTGTGATCGGCGAGTCTGGAAAAAGTCGCCAATTCCACGGCGCTCAATGGGGAGGCCTTGTTGAGAAGGAACTCAGATTTGGGCAAGTCGTTGGAGATTTGATTCTTCCAATAACGAATCAGAGACGCTCTTGGTGTGAATGGGTTCACTCCCGCCAATGGGTCGCCGGAATTATCTCCGGCTCCGGCCACACATACCTGCATTGCCAAAAAAAAAAAAAAAAAAAAAAACATAAATATTCACTTTGTATGTATCTATGTGTTTATAACATGGTAATAAAAAAGAAAGTAGATAGTGAGTATGTAGATATTTATAAAACACATAGAGATAGAGATTTATATGTGTGTGTGTGTATATATATATATATGTCAAATTTGTATAGAAACTTACATTGAATAGGCACAAGAAGAAGAAGAGATTCAAAAGAGAAGTCACATGCTTGAGATTGTGCATTTTTTTTTAAGTGATGAAGAGGCAGAGAAGAGTGAGAATGTTGGTGAGTTTGTTGAGGGGTTTGTGGCAGAAATTTATAGTAATAGTTTAGGGAGAGAGTGGTGGCAAATAGGGTTCGGTTTTTTATTTTTAGTAACTGTAATAAAATAAATATGTTGTTTTGGGAAAGCAAGTCACACACATGGGAAGTCTAAAGAGAGTGTGAGATGGAAATAGCAACAAGACAAAAAGAAAAACAAGTTTGGTTGAGAAGAAAAAAAAAATAAAAAAGGAAGCAAAAATTATTTTCAATTTTTTATATTTTTTTTATAATTTTCCTAAAAATATTTTATAGTAATCAAATACTCAATAGGAATTTTATTTTTGAGAACAGAGTAAGTTTCTTTTATTCATTTTCCTTTTTCTTTTCTTTTTTTGTAATCAAATACTCAATAGGAATTTTATTTTTGAGAGCAGGGTTCATCTTCGAAGTAAGTTTCTTTTATTACTTTCCCTTTTTTTCTATTTTCTTTTTCTTTCTTTTTTTTAATAGTATTAAATTCCATCTAACCAATGGAAGCAACCCAAGTTAATATAGAGTGAAATACTATAGCAATTGTTTTAGTTTTTATTTTTGTATATTAGTTATAAGAAAATATATGTGGTTACCAATTATGGTGCCAATTATGGTGCATTCTAGACCACATATATTTTAATATTGTATGCAATGCATGGGATTGCATTCTAGACTATGTTGTATGCAATTCATAGAATTACAACTAATTATTATGCATCCTATAACAGATGACCTCTTGGTGGAAGAAAAATATATATCTTTTCAAGTAAAATATTATTTTTTATTTTTTGTTTTTGACAAATGTTTAAATCAAGTCAAATCGAGAATAATGTGTAAAATATTTTGTCAAAAATTGTTGAATAAGTTATTTTTATTAAATTTTAATATTTTTATTCTTTATAAATATTTTACGACAATCAACCACCACAAAATACAAAAAATATTTTAAAAAACTTTAGTACAATGACCATTGGACATTATTATCATATATTTTTCCTAGTAATTATGATTTTTTAAAAAAATAAATAAATAAAAGATTTTAGGAAAAATAGTTTCTTGCACTTAATATTCCCTTATTTGTGATATCAATCAAATGTATCATGTCACATCAATAAAAGTGTGTAATTTTAGTGGGGTCGGTTAATATTTAACAAGTTTGTCATACCATATCATTATTAAGTTTTTCTCCTCAATGAGAGTAGGTGTTCGTGCATGCATCCATTGATAAGGTGGACGAACATAAAAGTAATACAATTATAACGAGAGCATCACAAGTACGAGTGACAAAAATAATTATAATTTTTTGTTAAAATTTTGTTTAAACTTTTATGCATTTGTTAGTAAGAGTTGAGATTGAAGTCCAGAATTGTGAGTAAGGTGGGCCCTAAAGTAAAAGACAGAGAGAGCACATGAACAAAAAGGCGGGGAGGCTTGGGGAGGCACTGAGTGACAAGTAGATCTCGCCCCAAAGCCGCGTAATGCATACGTGTCAGATAGTGATTGGGCATCCGTGGCTCTACAACTGGATTGGCTACGCGTTTAGCCGCTAATAATAGTAACGCGCATTTGGTTTTTTTTATGCTGCAAAGTTTTGCGAAGCTTTTTGTGAATTTTCTCACCCTCTTTCTTTCTTTCCAAACATTCCACAATTTGATTATTGTTGTGGAATCTCACTTACCAGAAAACATTGCAATATTGCGACAAGATCAACCTGTACCATCACCAACCGTGACAAAAGCTCGTGATCATGGCAAATTTATGAAATTTCCACAAGCCTGTGAGGGTATTTCTGGAATTATATGGTACATTATATATATACACACACATAGGGTCTTAAATTCACCAAAAGAATTAAAAACTTAGATTCGGCCTTGAAATGCAATCTGAATAAATAGATTTATGTGCTTCAACAATAATGGGTAGCTTTTACATTCATTGACATTATGTCTGAAATTTATACCACAAGATTTTATCAAATTTGAATTATTCAGTTATATACATATTATGGGTGGTGATTATGGCATTAAAAATGTTCTCAAAGCCGATTTTACATTGGTGCATTCAAATTCATTCAATACCACATAATTAATATTAACATCTCCGTTTGGGAGATTTAATAAGAATATTACAGGTAGTGACGAATTCAAAAGTTTGTTTCAGTGGAGCGTTTCTAAACAATAATGAGGGCATTAGTGAGAGGAAAAAAAAGAAGAAAAAATTAGGACAAAGGATAAAGTTATGGGGGTATTTATATAATTATGCAAGTTTTTTTTAAGATAAAAATAGAAAAATTTAAAATTTAAGTAGGGGTAGAGGGTAGAGTAATGGGGGCATTTATATAATTACCTAAGATTTTCTAAGTATAATGATCCGTCCCTTGCAGGGTGTTTGCAAATTTTTACTTTAGTACCATCCTATGATATAATTTTTTGCACAAAGTAAGATGGCTTTAAAATACATGTGTTATGTTTGGGTGTACGGAATTAACAATTTAAATTTAAAATTGAAAATTTTAATTCTAAATTCTAAAGTGAGGGTTTGAAGCTCCCAAACACGACAATAGACAATATATGTGGGGGTTAAACTCACGCAATTTTGGACTGCCTTGATTTGTGCCACGGAACGGTTGCAAGAAAAGGATGATTGCTCTCACACCATAAGTATGAAATGTTTCATATAACATTTTGTTTGGATATAAAATATTTTTTAAAAATATATATTTTATATTTATTTTTTAGTGTTTGGTTGTCTTAAAATATTTACAAAGAAAAATTACTTAAATTAATAAAAATAATTTACCCATTAATATACAACAAATTATTTTACATGCTTAGTTCGATAGACTCGACTTCGACACTTATATCTTTGCTAAACACCAAAAAATAAAAACTAAAAAGATACACCTTACATAAAAATATATATATTTTTTGAAGAAAATACTTTACGTGTAAATCTGGAACCTCTATGTTACCGGGAAAAAAAAGAAGAGAAACATTGTAACCTATCAAAATGTTATTACCTGACTGCTCCAAACTACGAAATTAATTATAAACTAAACTATGGGGTTTGAATTTGGGAAAAATACAAAAAGAAAAAAGGAAAAGAAAAAAGTATGCATTGAATATGTCAAAAGTTAGATCTATTCCTTCTTCACGTATTTAAGAACTTTTCACATCGGGGCAAGAACAATGAAATGAATGACTATTATTATTAATAAAGAATGGGTGATGTTATTGTTTCTTCCTATTAAATTATACTGTAGTTATGAATGATGAAAAGGATATGATGACTCATCATAAAAATGAGAGTGTGACACCATGAAACATGTGTTAAATTTTTATTTTTATTTTTATTTTGAATATATAGAATAGTGGAATCCGAATATCATTAATAAAAATTAATAAAATTCAACCCGATTTAACAGTTATAAGAATCAACCAAAATCAATTTAACTCAATTTAACTTAGGTTAAACATACCAATAAGCGAAGGAAAAAAAACTTAAAAAGATTTCTCTAGTAACGCCGACCGAATCGGGAAGGGCCCAACTTGAAAATTGGGCAGCTCCACCTCCCAGTCTCAAACCCTTCTGTCTGTGAACTGCTTAAGCTGCTCAAGTGGCTTGAACAGGTTGCCGCATGCTGACCGGGAGATGGACTAGAAACGACCCCTTCGGAACTATGTCTTGTGAACTATTTCATTTTACATGAATTCTCTCTCATCATTCACACATTAAAGTACCAACTAAATTCAATTCAACAAATCTTGTCAGCTATTTCGTTTCAGTTACATGAATTCGCTGTTGACAATCTAAGTTAATGAATTTTGGTCACTCTAGTTATCATGAAAAATTACCAATGTGTATACAAACAAAAATAAACTAATAGCCACGCGTTTTTGAACCAAACTTATGTGGAATTTGTGGACAGGTATAGTGGATAGGGATGACCAGAGAACATATGGGGATACACAAGATGACAATAATTGGAAGAAAAGGAATAAGACAGCTTTCTTTCTTATGAACAGTGAATATTCACAGGCTGATTTGTGCCCACTGATCTCTCTGTGCTTCCCCCACTTATTTTGGAGTCATCGACTGTTGAATACATCCAAGGTTTCGTTTCTCTGGTCACTTGGCCGGGTGCCTCGTAAAGTATCATGTTTAAAATTCGATTTCCTTCGAGAGTAAATAATTCTTTGAGATTACGCTCACAGTTTACTAACCCATGTGGATGGAAGGAACGCTTACATAGTGTCTCGTATGAACAAGAGATTTAAGGAGAGTACCAAAACGGCTTACTAGTTGAGCAAGTTGGTGGAGGCTTCATACATTTGTGTAAGAAACAACTCTCCAATTCTTTAATTAATTTTCCTTTTCCATTTTCCATGCTAAGATTGTTCAAGCGATTCCTTGGGATCACACTCCAAGTGAAAGCCCGAGTTTTACGAACCTGTGTAGAAGCAGAAAACACTTTACACATTGTCATGCATGGACCAGAGATTTAAGGAGAATACCAAGATTACTAGTTGAGCAAAGTGGTGGAGGCTTCATACATTTGTGTAAGAAAAAACTCCAATTCTTTTAATTAATTTTCCTTTTCCATTTTTCATGCTATGATTAATTGTTTAAATTTTTTTGAATTCATCATGTATTTGATTGTGGTCAAATAAATGCTTCTGACATCATCATCTATTCATGGACAATTTCAATAGAGTTGGTAAGACAAAATCTGAGCTTCCTACACACGGATCATTGAAATAATTGTCTGCTAGACTTAAATTTTAGAACCAGAACTACTTCATTAGTTTTTGTGCTTCTCTGAAAAATCCCTAAATGTTAGTAACAGAGCTGATAAGTTCATTAAATTTTCTGATTTATGGTGTTTTGCCAACCATACATTTTAGTTGGCTGTTCTTTTAAGAAGAGACATATAACGTACTTTATAGGAGGTATTGAATGAAGATACTCAAATATATGCTACATATAACTACTGTCGTTACTTCCACATTGTATAATAATGCTTTTTGGTAAAAAGACGTGCAATTTTTTATTACAAAATTAGCCGTTA